GATAGATTTTAAGTGATTTATAAGTGATAGCAAACAGATCAAAGCAGATTACCTAGCAAATAAACAAAGTCCCAAACTAAGTCTAACATACTAGATAGATTGTTTATGAATTAGCAGTTTCTCACCCTGACTGATAATACAAGCAGGCTTGCAGATTCTCAAGGCACAAGCTGCACTTGCTTTGCAGCTTGGGCTCCCCACCCCTGTTTCAAGTCCTTTTCTTCCGGAGCTTCTCTTAGGTATTCAGTTGTGGGGGAGTAAAGAACAGCAGATGATGTCATTTCCCACCTTATCTAGCCTTTCCTAGGGGCGGTAAGTTGTATAGGCCCATGGTGCCCGGGCTCCAGGAATATTCAGGGCCCAAGAGCCCAACTCCACCAATGTTTGGAGCCGGGTCTCTCCCCCAGTCCTGCCTGCCGCCCCCCGCGTGCCTCCTCCGGAACATCCCCTAGCCCCCATCTGCCGCCCCCGCGTGCCTCCCCTGGGCCCCAGAGCATCCCTGCCTCAAGCGGGAAGCTGTCCTGCAGCTCCGCGCTACACTCCCTTGCCACTGCCACCCATTGCTGCCTACAACACAAGAGCAGCGCCGGTGGCAGGCTGAGGCGGCTGCTGCACCTGCAGAGGGAGGAGGGGAAGGAAGCGCATACATGATTGGCAGCCCTCCCCTCCCCTACACCCACTGGGAAACGATGCTGATGGGGGGTCCAGAAGATGGAGTCTGAACCTCAGCTGAGCAGCTTCTGGGGCTTGGGTGAGTGTCCGACCATGTGACCCATGCCCCCACCCCACCTGCAGCCACCACTCCTGCCCCACGCTGGGTAAGGGGCAGCTCCATCCCCCATGAGGCTACGGTGAGTGGCAGCAGGCTGCAGCAGGGAAGGAGCCCACATGTGATGGCAGCCCCCTCCCCCCTGGCACCCACTATAGGGGAGGTGAGGGGACTTCCTGGACCTGAGAGGGGCCCGGCCTCTAGGAGCACATGCAGTGATGGTGCTGGATGAGTGTGCTGCCAGAGGGGGAGAGGGCTGGGGGACTGTGGAGTCCTCCTCTCTGGCCCCAGCCCCGGGGCAGCCTGCCTGCACCCCAAACTCCTCATCCCCAGCCCCACCCCAGAGCCCGCACCCCCAGCAAGAGCCCTCACCCTCCCGCAGCCCAACCCTCTGCCCCACCCTGAGCCCCCTCCTGCACCGTGAACCCCTCATCCCTGGCCCCGCTCCACAGCCATCACCCCAACCCTCTGCCCTAGCCCTGAGCCCCTCCCACACTCCAAACCCCTCATCCCCAGCCTGAGCCCTCATCCCCCCACACCCCAACCCTCTGCCCTAGCCCTGAGCCCCTCCCACACTCCAAACCCCTCATCCCCAGCCCGAGCCCTCATCCCCCCACACCCCAACCCTCTGCCCTAGCCCTGAGCCCCCTCCCACACCCCAAACCCCTCATCCCGAGCCCCACCCTAGAGCCTGCACCCCCAGCCAGAAACTGTTTAACAGGGAAACTGTTAATCGCTTACTGTTTCCAGTCCATTTTTACATTATTTTAATATATATATATATATTGGCTTACAAGGCAGGTGTGTGTGTGGGCGGGGGGACTTGGACCCATTCTGGGCACCACCAAAAATTATACAAACCTGCCGCGCCTGGCCTTTCCATATGGTGGGAACCCTTTGTTTCAATTTAGTTCCCACACCAGTTTGTGGAAAAATACAGGTACCCAAAATGGAGTTCAGTGGCATGTAGTCTGATCATAGAATCATAGAATATCAGGGTTGGAAAGGACCTCAGGAGGTCATCTAGTCCAACCCCTTGCTCAAAGCAGGACCAATTCCCAACTAAATCATCCCAGCCAGGGCTTTGTCAAGCCGGGCCTTAAAAACCTCCAAGGAAGGAGATTCCACCCCCTCCTCAGGTAACGCATTCCAGTGCTTCACCACC